GTCCTGAGCGACATCGCGGAGGTAGTGCTGTGATGAGAGGGCTCCTGTTTGATTTTCACTAAGGAAGGCCACGCACAGGGCTGGGTTTCCTGCCCGGACCCGGGTGCAGGGACGCTGTCATCCCTCCTGTGACTGTTCTGCAGCCCCTGAGCGTTCCCCCTGGTCTCCCACCGCCGCTGCCTCATTCCAAACTAAGGCAGTAACACTCGGGCACGCTGAGCACTGACCCATCTTTTCCCTTGTGTGACTCATCTGCTGGTGCTGCTCCAGCTGGGAACAAGCTGTGGACCTTTCGTATTCCATGCGCACGGGAGGGAAGCCCAGACTCATAGAGGAGGATGAGGCTGCGGTGCAGAAGTTTCGGTACGAGAACGGTGCTGCAGCACCCCAAGGGACAGCCGGTCAGGGTCTGGATATGCTGATGGGGCCAGGACTGGCTCCAGGGTTGGGAGTGGGGAGGATGGTTCCATGAGATGCCTTTTACACTGACACCATTAAATGCTGCTCGAGCAAAGATGGCCTTTGATCTGTGGAGCATCGAAGCGGCTGTGTGGTGCTATTCCCACTGGGCTGGAGTGGCCATAATCACCCGTCATGGTGGTGGTGTGATAACAGCCATGCCATCATCTGCAGCGGGGACAGCTGCCCGGCACCATCCCGATGTGGTGACCGTGGGATGCTGCGGCTGATCCAAGCTGGAGCACCTGCACGGTGCTGGTGGGCAAGTTTGGGGCACAGCCCAGTGTCTCCATCACATTAACACAGAGCCCTCCTGCAGGTCCGTGCCCCCAGGCTGGAGCTATGATCACGACATGGAGCTGGCGCGCTTCCTCTATGATTACAGTATGAAGGACCGTGGGAACTGCACCAAGGATTACATCAGAGGTGTCGAGGTCTCCTCAGAGATGGTGCGTAGCAGAGTTCCTCCATGGCTTAAAATCAGCATGAGATGGATGAGCATTGCTGCAGCTATGGGGAGGAGTGGCTGGCAGTGGCCGTCCCCTCCGTGAGGGGATGGTGGTGGGGTTTGCTGCTCTAGCGAAGCTGCGAGGAGTTGGGAGCAAAATCCCATTGTGTCGCTGGGGCGCTGTGAAGCGTCCGTGGCCGTGCCTGTCTTGCTCCTTGCGGGAGCCACCATCCACCCGCAGCCTGGCGAACCGAGTGGCTGGCCTGGTCCTGACCTCCTCTGGCCCCACGGGACCTGTCATGGGTGTGCCCAAGGATGCTCAGCTCCCTTCCTCCGCTCACTGCACTCTTGCAGGACGACTGCAGTGCGGCCCACCTGACCGACAACCAGACCACCACCTGGGAGAGCAACGGGCCCCAAGGCCAGCACTGGGTGCGACTCAACATGAAGAAAGGCACTATTGTCAAGTGAGACCTTGGGGTGTCCCCTCCCCACCAGGGACAGGCAGGTCGTGGGGCAAAGCACCCACCTTCCTTCTGAATGCGGCTTTCCCTGGGCTGCTGCCACGGGCTCGGGGTTGAGGTGGGGGGGCAGCTGCTGCTGGATGCAGCCCAGGAGGACACAGCCTTGCGCTCAGGCCTGGGACATTTCCAGGGGCATCTCTGTGCCCAGACAGCTTGGGAGGGGAGGACAACACTGCCTCTTGCTTTTCTCATCCCCAGGAAGCTGTGGCTGGTGCTGGACGGGCAGTCCCACTCCTACATACCCAGGCGGGTGGCTGTGTACGGGGGGGAACTGGACAGACTGTATCACCTGAGAACAGTCCTAATTAGTGAGTGAGTAATGAGTGAGGAGCAGCCTGGATCTGGCTTGGGGCAAACTCCTGAACTGTCTCTGCATCTCGAGCAGATGCTGAGGAAAGGGCTGAGGTCGGTCCTGAGTGACCTGGTGGTGATGGTGACTCTCCGTGGGTTGGGACTCCCTGGGTGCATCTGTCCCCACAAGCATGGTGGTCCCCTGCCTCCACGTGCCAGCCGAGCACTTTCATCTCTGCTCCTGCTCCTCACCCGTGCTGCAGCAGCTGGGCTGTAGCATGCTTCTTCCTGCCTGGTGATTTTGGGGGTCTTTCCTCCTCGCCTCTGGGGTGCCGCTGCTGTCTCCTTTCTGACCATCTCTGCCGTGCTGTAGTTGAGAAGTCCTGGGATGCCTCACCTTTCCCTCTTTGCCCTGGCTCTGCAGCACCCTTCTTGAGGGCAGACAGGGGTTTATGTAGGGGTGCAATGATTTCTTCCTCCCCAAAACTTGCCTGTTTGCCATTTTTTTGGCTGAACAATGGAACTTTGTCTTTGAAGAAGCACTCATGAGACCACTGAGGTCTCTTTCCCAGTGGCAGGACCCAGCTCCTTGCTGCACCTGAGCAGTCGCAGTGGTTTTTTGCCCATGCACCCGTAGGTCTTTGATGGGACCTTGTCAAAGGCTTTGGAAATACAAGCAAATCACTTATCATATTGCTCATCTTCACAAATCCCTCTGTCCTCCAAAACACATCACCCTTGTGTGGCCAGCTTGGCTGGAACAATGGTTGTGCCAATGCAAGATGCGCCTGGGACCCCCAGGAACCCGGATGCACTCTCAACCATCTTACCTTTCTGTTCTGCTTTGCTCTTTTCTGGTTCTTCTCTGAATGTGGCTTCCACCTTCTTCAGGATGCCTCTGTGCCTCTGACAGCCTCTCCTCTCTGCTTGGTCCCCTCCTGCCACAGTCCCGGTGAGGCGGGGGTCTTTGGCCACAAGTAGTGGCTGGGGATCCGGCTGGGGCCCACAGCTCGCCAGCTGCCTTGGCAGCATCTGTGCCTCGCGGCTCTGCCATCTCCCTCCGTGCTATATGCAGGAACAGCTACCGGGAGGTCTGCATCCTCCGCGACATGAAGACCCACCTGCCAGTGCTGGAGATCCGCATCCTGGAGTGCCGGGGTGAGCATCTGCTGCGGGATTGGGCTGTCAGCCCAGCCTGACCTTAAAGCTGCAGCCAGGGCCAGCTCCTGCCACAGTGGCTGCTTTTTGGGGTCCACTGGGGGAAAAGCTGGGGAATGAGTCTCATTTGGGATGCCACAGGCAGTGGGGTGTCCTTGCCCCCAGTTGCAGCATCTGAGCCGTGCTGGCTGCACAGCTACAGCCATGCACACAGCATCGCTGTCCTTTCTTGACAGAGCACGGGCAAAACGTCCGTCTGCAAGGGATAAAGATCAAGTCCTCCTGGGAGTGGGACCTGATCCTCAATGCTGACATCTTCCAGCCTTCCCGGCTGGTGCGCTACCCACTGCTGGAAGGGGTAGACAATGATGTGCTGTACCGGCGGGCTGTGCTCATTCAGAGGTACGGCATGGGGATGGGGGCATCCCTGCAGCAAGCCCAGGTCCTGAGAGGTACTGTGCCCTGGCCTCTAGCAGGGGGTTGCGTGTGTCTTGCCCATGTGGGGCAAGGACTTCGGCTTGATGCTCCCCATCAAAGCACGGCTGCTTCCAGTTTCTGGGGAGCATGGTGGTAGCATGGGGTGAGAGGGACCTGCATCACATGGAGTCCTCCACCCTCCCTGCCTGCAGGGCAGCCTGGGCTGGGGCCAGCACTGCAGAGACCCTCTTGCAGCGATTCAGCTGCATTGCTGCAGTGTGGGCTGGGTTGCCCTCGTTTGTGGCGTTTTCTTGGGGGAACAATATAATGTGCTTGGCCAGAGGGTGCTGGTTGGGTGCTCCCCTTGGTGTGCTGGTGTCTCTCCATGAGCTGGATGAGACCCAAGTGCAGAGAGGCTCAGACTGCGGCTCGGTGCAGCCTGGGGCTCTCTGTGGTGAAACACCATGGGCATGTCGGGCTCCGCACATCCACCGACCCCCTTGCATTCTCATGCTGCTTTTCTCCGGTCTCCAGGTTCGTCCAGCTCATGGACAGCGTCCTGCATTACCTGATCTCCCCCTGCGAGTACAGCTCTGGCAGCTTCAATGCACTCAGGGTGAGCATTTGCTGGGCTCCCCTGGCATGGTGCCATCCCATCACGGGCTCAGCTGGTTTCTGCGGGCGCTGTGGAATCCCCATTGATCCGACAGGGACAGACCAGCCCAGGGCTCATGCTGAGATTTGCTGTGCTGGGCATTGCCAGAGAGGTGGAGGAGTTTAGCATCGCCTGCGACACCAGGGGCTGTGCCTAGGGAGAGGAAAAGAGGGCACACAGCGACAGCATCAGGCCTCTAACCATCCCTGCTCATCCCTTACTAGAGCATGAAGCAGTTCCTGCTGCTGTCCAAGCAGAGCACAGCCCTCATTGCCCACTGTCTCCAGTCCTCGGAGACACCCCACCCTTACGACCTGCCAAAGCTGCACATCAACCGGCACCTGGCCCGGGAGCACCGCGCCAACCCCGCTCTGGACCCCAGCTGCAAGAACACCGTATTCTCCCAGGTATGGCCACGCCGTGCCCTGCACCAGCTACCTGCCAGTTCAGCATCTCTCGCCCCTGCTGCATCTCATCTCCTTTCTGCTCTGTGCTCCTCTCCAGCTCTACGAAAACCTCAAACCTCCCAAGAACAATCAGCCCCTGGACTACAGGTAGGTCTTCATGTCACATTTGCATGGTGTCACCTCTCTGGCGTGGGCTGTTGGGGTGGGTGTCAGGGGCTGCTGGCTCTCTTGGAGGAGGGATGTGCGTGGGGCTGTTGTTTCCCTGCAGGTGGCCCGCGAACAGCAGTCAGTGGTGGCAGTGCGAGTTCATCTCCGAGGGCATCATCGACCAAGGTGAGAGCTCTTCCCTCCTGCCTGGGGCTCTTCCCTGGTTTTTTTTTTGCTGGGGGGCAGCTCGGTAGGTCACCCACTGCAGTGGGGTGCCCACGCTGTCCCGGCTGCTGTGCAGAAGGCCGTTCCACTCTGCACATGTGGGGTGATCTCTGCATCTTCCCTATGAACTCAGCGCTGCCCCTGCTCCATGGAGAGGGGGTGGCTTGGCCAGATCCTGTGGATCAGCATTTGGCCCTGGGCATGTCAGACATTAACCAGCCTCTGCCCCCATTGCAGGTGGCGGTTTTCGGGACAGCTTGTCAGATGTATCGGAGGAGCTGTGTCCCAGCTCAAGCAACGTCCCCATGCCCCTGCCCTTCTTTGTGCGCACCTCCAACCAGGTTTGGCACCCTGCTGTCCACCTGTCCTGACCCTGGGGGGCCATCCAGCAGAAGCTGGGGCTTTTGGGGTGTTAGTCCTGTCTTAATGCTTGTGGGGCTGTTGGCCAGGGGAGCTGTGCTTGTACCTGGGTGGTTGAGGTCTCCTGGAGGGGTGTAAAGGGCAGGAGAGGCAGGCAGAGGGGTGATGAAGAGGGAGGCTGCAGGGAAGGACCACGCTGGGTTGGTCAAATCTGTGTCCACAGGTCCTAAGAATCTCTCCTGCAGGGTAACAGCAGCAGTGACACCAGGGACATGTACGTCCCCAACCCTTCCTGCAAGGAATTCCCCAAGTACCAGTGGATAGGGCAGCTGATGGGAGGAGCCCTGAGGGGCAAGGAGTTTCTGGTGAGTATGGCAGAGCCTCTCTGGCTGGTGAGGGGCTCCGTGGCAGCCACCTTACCTAAAGCAGGGAGGCTGCCCTTGGGTGAAGGAGGGACACAGGGAGAACGTGCATCTCTGCTCCCTCTGGCAGACCCTGGCTCTGCCGGCACTGGTGTGGAAGCAGCTGGCAGGGGAGGAGGTCAGCTGGAGGAAGGACTTCGCCACCGTGGACTTGGAGCTGGTGAGTGGGGCTGGAGGCCATCAGGGCAATGCCACGTGCTCCCGTGGCTGCTCTGGCTCTGCCGTGATGGCTTTTGCCTGTTGGTGTTTTAGGTGAAACTCCTGGAGGTGCTGGACGGGGTGGACAGGGAAACCTTTGAGTTCATGTTCGGCAGAGAGCTGACCTACAC